AAGCAACTGGTGTCTGAAAAGAATTATATATATATATATATATATATATATATATATGGGGGGGGGCAATAGGGATTTCGCCTAGGGCGTCAAATTGTCTAGAAACGGCCCTGGCTACAACCATCTCACAGCCACAGGACAATCCTCCACTGCGCTCTCCTCTCTCCTTTCGGGTCTTGCTGATTTTCTGTTATCTTACCTTTAATAGCTTTGATCAAATTGGAGCAGAGACGGAGGGACTGCTAGGATGGGAATGGCCCCAGCCTTGGCACAGCACTTGTGCAAAAACACTATTATTACTGATCCAAGCTGTTGCCGTGCATCGGGTACAATTATATTCACTTAAGGGTCCCCATAGTGATGTGGCTGGGTGATTTTGAAGTTGGTGCTTTTAGGCTGTTCCAGTAGGTAGGTGTGTGTGTGTGTGTGTGTGTGTGTGTGTGTGTTACTATTGTCAAAAAAATGAAAAAAATGTTGAATGACGCATCGTATTGACCTTTTTTTTTTTTTTTACCTTGAAATAGTTCTTATTTTATTAATTTCAAATAAATGCTGTACTTGTTTAATTTTTTTTAACCAAGATTCTTGAAAGTCAGCATATTAGAATGATTACTTCGCCATCACAGGAATAAATTACATTTTAAAATAACTGTTTTTATATATATATTAAATTGTAATAACTTTTCACATTATTACTGTATGAATTTTTTTATCAAATAAATGCAGCAGCATAAATATGTATGCGTTTGTGTGGGACAAAGATTTTATTTTTTAAACAAGAAAAAAAAAATATGACAGCCATAAAGCATAAGACCCATATTTTCAAGGTCTACAGAACAAACCACAAATAAGCCTTCTAAAGCAGCACAAATACAACATAGGTTCCAGATAAAGCACGTCCTTGCCTCTTATACTGTCCTTCAGTTACGCAGCGTGGCCTCACTCATTAGCAGTGGTGGTGGTTCTATTGTGCAATGACTGTGTTGCGATGGATTCTTATATTTTTTTCTTTTTTTTCCTTAATGATTCAAAAAGCGGAGTGGGTCTGCATAGCAGACAAGCCCCCTCTGTGAGAGAGCACTTGATTAATGATCTGGAAAACACTTTGCCATTTCAGCTGATTAAATAAAATTGACTGGATTTTTGAATTTTATGATCAAGTGACCCTTGCATGCTTGAAATGACCCAGCAGAGAAAGCACAGCTTTCTCTCTCTTTCAAGACAGAATCTATATTTTGTCCCTTGCAGATCCACGTGTGAGATGTCTCCTCAAGCAGAAAAACACACTCTGTCACCAGTTGATGACAGTACCTGCCAACCATGTGCACCTCTGTACGGAAATGCAAAGCCTCTGAACAGGAGCGCAAAAGTTTCCTTTCAATTTCCCATCACGTTATTGAGCAATGGGGCATTCTCTCTCTCCATTCATGTGGAGATGGGGTTTTCAAGCTAAATTAGTAATGATGTTGGCATGTTCATCAGACTGGCTTGGTTTATTTCAGTTCGCCTCTGTTCTGTTAGCGCTTCTTGAGCAGGGTTGGGCAAAGATCCATCAAAATGTATTTTAAAATAAAATACCAAATACCTTAATTTTAAGTGTATCAAAATAAACTACAAAATACAGCAGCCACACCAAGTATCAAAATAAACTACTGTATTTTTGTATTTTAAAACTATACTATACTTTTACAAGGGAGCATGAAATTTCTTCACAAAACTTCCATCAATTGGTCTATTTGATCTATCTCTTCACCAATACACTGCTGTATGGGAACAATGTTTGATAGCAACAGCTTTTCTCTGCCCGAGTCATGCAATAAATCTGACATATGCAACCAGTTAACAGATCAAATATTCACATATCCCTGTGATTTCCCAGATGAAGGTTAGTTTTAAAGTAACCAACAGTTTAATGTTTAACAGTTTGCGAATGACTCATAATTGTATCCTAATTTAGTTAC